CCCTCAGAAGAAATAAACTTAAAAAGAAAAAATGCTATAAGGGAAATAAAAAGGGCAGGAAACAGAATGAAGTGTGCCTTGTGGTAATGTTTACATAACCTACATACACAAGAGACAATGAACTAGGGGTGAAGGACAGGGAGAACGGGGCCGGGGACAGGCCCAGGCCCAGGCCCAGGCAGACTTGTGCACCAGGGCCAGTGTCAGTGTCGCTGGTATTGGGGGTTCTATGGGGAAGCTCTGAGAGTAAGAAGTGAGGTCCTCACTGTAACCAAGACCTTCCTTCCTTCCACTAATGTGGAGTCACACAAGCAAGTCTGAACTCACTGGTGACAACTCAGGATTAGGAATGACCAAACGTTTTCTGCAGTTCCTGCCGCCCGGAGGTGGAGCCTGTTTCCTTACCCCAGGAACCTGGGCTCCATGTGTCTTGCGCTTGACTACGAGAATGGGACAGAACCTAGAGAATGCTGCCAGGGGATTCCAAGCCTGGGCTCATGAGGACTTGCAGTCACTCTCATGACTGTGTCCAAGGTCTGGGATCATGTGCGTGAGTAGTGAAGCAGAAAGGATTAGGAGTGAGACAGTACTGACTGCCATGCAAGGGGGCAGAGCCAGGAGACGCTGCCCTCCCCCCAACAACCCTGGACACCCTGGCTAGCCTGCTTCCTTACCGGGCAGAAACCTCCTCGATTTTCTCAAACGTCCGGGCCACAGCCAAATATGGGACCCTGGTAAGGCAGAGAGAAGTGAGAGCCACTGTAGAGCCCAGCTGCTCCCCATCCAGCTGACCTCGCACAGATCCCAGGGACACAGCCCCGACAGAGCTGGTACACAGATCCTGGGGACAGCCCCGACAGAACCGGTACACAGATCCCAGGATAGCACCAACAGAGCCGGTACATAGATCCCGGGGACAGCCCCGACAGAGCTGGTACACAGATCCTGGGGACAGCCCTAACAGAGCCAGTTGCTCAAAGGCAGCCCTGCTCCCTGCCCAGGGCCATCTCTCTGTCCCACTCAAGGGGAGTATCCCTGATGGTGTACTCCAACTGCAGCCTCTGGTGGGAGAGCCTCCCACAGTGACGGGCACAGGAGAGAGGCAGGCTGGTAAGGAAGAAGTCTCACTTCTGGCCAGGTTTCCAGCAGGCATCTTCAATGGGATGGTAGTTGTTTTTGGCAGGATTGTAGCAGGCTGGATCCAGGGGGCTGTGGAGGCAAAGGGGGATTAAACTGGATACTCCTGTGTGAAGAGCAGTTGCTCCTCCAGCTAAGATTTACAGAGCACCCTGTGTGCCAGGCACCCGGTCCAGGTATATACAAGGGCAGACACGAACAGAAACAAGGTCTGTTAATCTGGAGCTCACTTTCCAGTGGGAGCCAGAAATAAAAATGTGGGGACATACAAATGATCACTCCTACCTCAGAGGGTGGTCAGGGAAAGCCTAAGAAGAGGTTCTGGGCGGGATGAGGTGAGCAGCAAACAGAGCTTGCAGAGCAGGGGGAAGAGCATTCCAGGCAGAGGGATCAGTGTGTACAAAAGCTCTGAGGTACAGGCAAGCGTGATGTGATATGTGAAGACCAGGAGGGTTGGTATGGTGGGGGCAGCAAAGAGGGAGGCGTGTGTGGTCACTGGTACCACGCTAAGTACACTACACCTATTCACCATCAGGCCTACCAGGTAGGGATTCTTCTAACTTCCTTTTCCAGATAAGGAAACGGGCACAGTGTTCAAGTAGCTCTCCCGTCACACAGCCGGTAAGTGGCACAGCTGTGGAGACTGCTCAACCTCGCTATTGTAAATACCTCCAGAGGTGCTGCACGCCGACACTGCATGTCACTACGGTCTGGACTTTGGAGGTGGCAGGGCTGAACGGGGTCGACTCTGCTTTGCCACTGACCAGCCTCCCTGCTCTGATCCCCAGTGTCTCCACCTACACAGAGGAGCTACCAAGAGTCCTTCCTAAAGCACGTCATCTTGGGGTTGAAGAAGAAACCACAGTGAGAGATTCCATTCCTGACAGCACTTGGTGCAGAGTATTTATAAAACAATGAGGGCACCTGGCCACAGGCTTGAGGGCACCTGGCCACAGGCTTGCATCTATTCTAACCTGAAGGCAAGAGGGTAGAAGGAAAGAGACTCGGGCTCTTCGGCTGATTCTGGTGCACAGGCAGGGCTGTGGGTGGCTGAGACAGCCAGAGCGAGAGCAGAGCTGTGTCCAGTAACACTTAGAAAGTGGAGATGCTATCGCAGCAATGCAGCAGGGCACACGGGCAAGGGATTCTAGGGCACACCCCAGCTGTGTGGCTTGAGCAAGGCACTAAAGTAAGTGGTGAAAACACAAATAATAGTAATGGTTAGTAGTTACCACTTGCTGAATATGGCCACAGCCAAGCCCTGGTCTAAACCCTTCAAATCTTCAGGAGGAAAGAGACTGAGAACAACTAGGTAATTTCTCTCAAGTCACCTTGCAGATAAAGGTAGAAATGGGATTCTCTAATACTGTCCTGTGGCCCAGCCTTGCCTTGTTAGCTCGGTGGGTAAGGGAGCTATCTACATGGCTGATAATGGTTTGAATCCTGGCCTCAGTGACTTGAAAAACCTAACAGGTACATTGCATGCATGGCCAGAATTCTGATGGGATGAAGCAATGGAGAAAGAAGGATTGTGGTGTGACCACTCCAGCAGGTTGAGTGCTCTCTATATGGCAAGCACACTTGTCCTCTACAATAAAAAAACACATACACAAGAAAACAAACAAACAAAAAACCCAAAACACTGCCCTGCCTCTATGCCTCATTTTCTCATCTACCAAGTAGGGACAACAGAATCTGCTCATAGCAGTGCTGCGAGGACACAGTGCAGTGAAATAGACTGTGTTCTCCCCAGTGCTCAGCACAGTTCACAGTGAAGGCTGTGCTGTCACTGACAGTCCCCAACTGAAAAGTGAAACAATGGGGGTCCTGAGGTTTAGCCATCTCCTAGAGGCAGTCATCAGACATGGTGGCAAGTGACCGTGTGAGGAATGGCATAAGAAAAACGGTCGAGTATCACTTGAAATAAAAACCAGAACATAGAGCTTGGTATGTAGTAGGATCTCAACTGTTAGAAAAATACACTGAGGGCCAGCCAGCCCTGCAGCCTAATGGTTAAGGGAGCCATATCCCACACGGTCAACTGTGGTTCAAGTCCTGTCCCAGTGGCTCAGGAAACACGCTGGTCTGTGGGGGAAGCACTTTACCATGTGACAGGAAATTTAAAAAAGCCTACTTCAAGAGGGCTGGGACACACAGCAGTTTTGATGGAGGAGGCACTAGGCTCCCCCAGCAGGAGCAGTGAAGAGCCTGAGGGGACACTGTGTAGGGCAGAGTGCGCTGAGCTCAGGGCTCCAAGCGGGAGCCAGCGTATCAGAAGCAGGGAGTGATGATGGAATTGGTGTGCTGAGGGAAACAGGAGGAGAATGGTGGTGCTAAGAGGCTGCACCATCAGGGAGGCAAGACCAGCACCCAAGAAACCTGAGAAGCCCAGATGGGGAATCCTAGATGCGCTTTTTTTTGTTGTTGTTGTTGTTGTTTTGTTTGTTTGTTTTTGTCATAGGGAGCATGTGCTCACTAGAGAGAGAGAAAAATATCCCTGAGGGGAGATGGCCATGCCACAATCCCTTCTCTATTTTCCTCTTGGGATTTTGGATGGACGGACGGACACTGGGACACACACACACACCCCCATTGTGATTTTCAAACCACCAGGTCCAGGACTCAAATTGTGGTCAATCATGTGGGAGTCCAGCACTTTAACCACCACACCACCTGCTGGTCCCATGGATGGGCATTTATTTATCTACCCACTCATTCAATCATTCACTCAACAAACCTTCAGCATGGCCTCCTATGTATGTACAGGATATTGTGGGAATCAGCCTAGGCGCCCTCTCATCAGAAAACTAACACAATCACAATGAAGAATTCATTTCTGAACAACCTTTTGGGTGTCCCACAATCACAGCGCCTTGTGAGCATCCTGGGGACCAGGTTGGGGTGGGTCCATTCCCACAGGCCACCCAGGACGCACTCAGTAGATTTCAACCCAAAGCAGATGTGCCTGGGGCTTACAGAAGAAACTAGGGCTGGTGGGTTCAGTGTGACATTAACAGAGGGGTCGGAAATGAAGCCAGAGAGGTGGGCAGGGGCCAGTGGCTAAAGGGCTGAGATTCTTTCCTGGGGGCACTGAGGAGCCATTAGCAGGGCAGGGTTGATGAGTGTCAGAAAGATCCCCCCAGGCCTTGGTGGGGGCAGTCAGAATGGAGGCCAGCAGTCAGGGCAGGGGCTGGCCTGACAGCTTGACGCACTCTGCCCCTTGCTTATTTTCATATAGCCCCAGAGCTAACAATGGTTTTTTTTTTTTTTTTGGAGAGATTTTCACTGTAGGGCGTGTGCGCTCGCCAGACAGAGAGAGACATAGAGACAGAAAGCGAGAAATCACCCCCCAGGGGGGATGGTCACGCTGCAATCCCTTCTCCTCCATTCTCCTCTCAGGATCTTGGGCACGCACGCACGCACACGCGCCCGGCGTGAGTTTTAAGCCACCGGGTCCAGGACACGAACCGCGGTCGACTACGTGGGAGTCCAGCGACATA